AAATCCAAAAAAAAAAAAAAAAAAAAAAACAAAGCATCGATTAATTTCTTTACCTTGCTCGAAACCATCGTGAACAATAGCCAACGCGCTGATCGGTCTCGTCCTCGGATACAAATCGTAAATTCGTCCATCGCGAACCACTCGACTTTCGTCTCTCCCTGAAATCCCGCCGTAGTACCAGGACACCAAGTCGTGAGTTTCGCCGATGGATTTCGTCGGTATCACCCCGATATCGACGTTATCCAACGTGGAAAACTGATGACCGTACGTCACATGTTTCGGCCAGTTTTTGAAGTTGTCGTTGCTGAACTCTGGCGTCGATCCCTCGACGTGGTTCGATCGACACGGTGAACCACGAGACGGATGATAATAAGAGCAGTCATCTTTCGAACGACCGAAGAGATGAGCGACCAACGTGAGAAACATGAACGTGGGTGGTTGACAGGTTGACACTGTGGAGTGAGGTGAGCAGAGAGTCGTTAGATTTGGTGGTATCCACGACATCCTTTTCCCTGTCCTTCTGTTCTTTTCCTCTTTTTCTTTTTTTTTTTTTTTCTTTTAGAGATGACGATTGTTCTTGGTCTTCTGTTCTTCAGATGGTTCAATTGATTGCTGAGAACTATGTTGTTGAATATCACTGTGGTAATATATGATATTGTATTACTATAGTAATATATTGTATAACATGTTAATATATTGGGTTATATTATTGTGTTAATATAATATATTGATATTAAATTGATTAATATATAATATATAATATATATAATATATATAATATATTGATATATATATATTGTGTTATAATGATTATTTATTATTGCAGTAAATATATGTATAATAAATGTAATAATCATGATATATTACAATCATATAGATTACATAATATATTACAATAATATAGTTACAATATATTATGATATACATATAATTGTTTCAATAACTATTGTATAATATCATATAATAGTCTCAGATATATTGTGTTATAATGATTATTTATTATTGCAGTAAATATATGTATAATAAATGTAATAATCATGATATATTACAATCATATAGATTACATAATATATTACAATAATATAGTTACAATATATTATGATATACATATAACTATTGTATAATATCATATAATAGTCTCAGATATATTGTGTTACAATAATTATTTATTATTGCAGTAAATATATGTATAATAAATGTAATGATCATGATATATTACAATAATATAGTTACAATATATTATGATATACATATAATT